TAACCTCAAGGTCAGCAGTTTGAAACTACCACACGTTTCTCAGGAGAAAGATGAGGCTTTCTGCTCTCAGAAAGATTTGCTGCCTCAGAAACCCTATACAGGGTCGCTATGGGTCAGAACTGACTCAATGGCACTTATCAACAACAACCACCCCTGAGTAGCTGGAAGATGCTGTCTGAGGTGAATAGGTTTTCCTTTAGGCAACCTCCCTAATGTTTTCTAGTTCATGGTCAGCTAAAAAAGACTTCCCCCTTAGATACTATACCTGTCTTTTCTAATCCAAAGTGTAAATACCTATTGCTGTCCAGTTGATTCCAATTTATGGCGACCTGAGAGTAGACCATTTCTTGGCTCTAATCTTTGTGTCTTCCATGGCACATCTGGGTGCTTTCAAGCCGCCAACCTTAAGGTTAGTACTCAAGAGCACAAACACTTTAGGGAGGTATCTGGATAGCACAAATCATAAGATTTTGAAATTTAAAAGTACACTTATATCTTGTTAGTTTTTGTCCATTGTTCTAAATCAAGTGGTTTAGAGTTTTCATACAATGTGTTAGCTATCTTCCCATTCTGCCCTTATCAACGGCACTGCATTCTCATTTGATTGGCAAACCATCTGTGTCGTCACCCTGTGGTTGATTAAAATATTGAAGAGGCCAGGCTTTGGCATGATAATAGAGACTCGGGTTCAGGTTGATAATGATCAATATTCCTTGGGGTTGTTTGTCTTTGAATGGACCCAATTAGTTCCATCTCTACCCCACATTTCTGTCTTGTCCACATAAATATCTTCAAACCCATCAGTTAGCAACCCAGCTAAAATCTAGATTTACTGCATTCCACAAAACTTCAAGGCTTTGCAACCCTGTTGCAAAAAGAGATGCATTTAGCTGAGCATGACTTGTGCTTGGTGAACCCGCGCTAGCTTCTCATGCCCATCACTTGTTCTTCTGAGGGTTCCAAACTTCTTCTTGTCCCCATTTAGGAGTTTGCAAGAGTGCAGGTTTGCGTTCCAAGTTTTTAGAATCCATCATTTCTTTCTTTGTAAAAGTAGTAACAGCTTGTCTTCTGATAGCTTTCCAAGATTCCATCGAGATGATCAGAGGTGGTTATGAAGTCTCAGTTTTAGGTTCTTTCTCTGGGAAATGACACAGTTCCCACCTTAAAAATGTATAATCTCTCCATCTAGCCTGGACTCAATCCCCAACAATTCTGATTTATCCTTGGCATTGAAGATGTATTGGTGATTCTAAAGGTAGACGCCAAAGGGGGAGTGAGTGAGTGGTTCTACATCACCTGTCATCTGTTTAGCATTAACAGACAGGGCCCTCAGACCTAATCGTCTCTTGCTTTGCATTTAGATTTAATTCTTATTTTTCTTAACCTTTGTATGGTCCTTAGTTTTCGTTTTCACTTTCTTGTTGGCCTGTTGGTATCCAAGAGTCTTCTGGCTGGTTCATGTTTAAGTGGACAGCCCAGCTGGTAGCGAGCTTCCTGAGGGAATCCAACCTTACGCACGTTCCACTTTCATAGACTGCACAGCCTTCAGGAAAATGCTCTGGAAATGCCATGAGGAGGCAGGGTAATGGTGGTGCAGTTTGTCAGATGTGCACATCATCATGGAAAATTCTTTGTAAGAGGAGGCATATCCATTTACACAGGCCCCCCTGCTGCTTCTGCACACTGCACATTCCTGCCGAACAACCCACCCTTGCCCTTTTTTTCCTACCAAACCTCAGTCATGCTTTGGGTGGCTTAGAAATACAGTTTTCCATCTCCCTCCCATTGCGTCTTCCTCTATTTCTTCTCTGTCCATCCTTTGTTGGATTTTTAAGGGGGATATAGCTGAGTTTCTGCTCTCTGGACTGGCTATTTCTGTCTGTAGCCTTCCTAGGGACAGGACTCCGGAACCTCAGGTTTAGAGCTGAGCCTGTCTTTTCTTACGTGACTTCTGGAGTGCACCTGGTTGGTAGGTTGCAGTGAAAGGTGGAGAGATTTGAAGGAAGGAGAGAGGAAAGCTTACTAAGTGATAGAACCTAGCAGTTTGAATCTAACATGATGCAGGGTGTTTCCTGGGTCAGATAAGGCCTCTCCTGGGGCCTCCCAATGTACTTTACCAGGCAACTTTTCACCTACTGTCCTCAGTTTGTGGGAGGCTGTTGGCATTGATAACATCACTTTGATACCTGGGCATGTACGTGCCACTTCAGATGACCTGTCTCTGCTCAGCACAGGGCAGCGAGAGAAAGGAATGGAGGGAAGAGGGCAAAGGGTAGGCTAGAGTCATAGGCTTTTTGGTTATTGTTAAGAATATATGCAGCCGGATGTACACCAACTGTTTCTACATGTACATTTTAATGACACATACATTTTCAGTTGTGTAATTATTCTCGCCCTCCATTTCCAAATTGTTCCTCCTCTAGTAACATAAACTCACTGCCCCTTAAGTTTCCTGCATGATCTTTCAACTTACTGTTGCCAATTCAATTTGATGCCATATAGACAGGTCTTGGAGCTGTCATGTGGTACTGTGGGATCAGCACTGGACTGCTAACTCCAAGGTCAGTGGTTCAAACCCACCAGGTGCTCTTTGGATACCATATACAGGCTCACTATGAGTCGGAACTTACCAACAAGAAGATAAGCCTTAAAAGAGCACAAGGCTCAAGACAGATCTTTGTTATTAGCTAAGTTAAGCGGTTGTTTATTCTAAAGAAGACATCAGGAGATATTTATGGTTAAAGGTTTCAGGTTTGAAAATTATCTCAGGATAATAGTTTGGGGCCGTCATCCATCCAACCTTCTTGTTGTTGTTGTTATGTGCCGAGAAGTCGGTTCCAAGTCATAGCAACCCTGTACAGGGTTTCTGAGGCTGTAAATCTTTACGGGAGCAGAAACCCTCGTCTTTCTCCTGCGTAACAGCTGGTAGTGTAGAACTGCTGACCTTGTGGTTCGCAACCCGATTTGTAACCACTAAGCTACCAGAGATCCTTCCATCCAGCCTTAGTGGCTCCATAAAGTCAGGATTCCATAAGAGTTTGGAAATCTCTTCCACATTTACCCCCTTTTGATCAAGATTCTTTCATAGTATCTTTGATTGAAACATTCAATGAATGGAAGCCGACACCATCCGCTTTTTCCAGGCCAACCTTAAATAGGCTTAGTGGTTCTCCTGTGTATTTATGTCACATCTGCCTTTGACAGCAGAATACTCTGGTGCCACAGTTCTTCCTGCTGTCTGGGGACCAGTAGCATTAGCATCATCTGGGAACTTGTTGGGGATGCCAGTTCTTGGGCCCTTCCCCAGACCTACTAAAGCAGAAACTGGAGGTGTGACTGAGCAGTTTGCTGTTAATGAGCCCTCCGGGTAATTCTGGTGTATCTTAATAAGTGTGAGAAACACTGGACTCTGGAGACAGATTGCTTAGGTGCATATCCTTGCCAGCTGTGTGACCTTAGGCAAATCACTTAGCCTCTCTGATCCTCTGTTTCATCACCTATAAAATAGAGACAGTAACTACCACTCTGTAGCTGTGATGATTTAATGAGAACGCCTATAAGAAATTTAATACAGTGCTTGCCACTTAGACAATGACTTTCATTCCATACTGACCTTCATTCTCTGTTTCTAGGTAGTATCTGATGCTGCAGGAAAGGGTGTGGCCATCACAGGGAACCAGACCTTCAACAACTGGAACTGGCCCAATGCAGTCATATTTGCAGCCACGGTCATCACCACCATCGGTAAGTTTGTCTGGTTTGTGTCTGTCTTTGTGACTCTGCTCCTGTAAGGTTCATATATGGCCAGGGTCCCACTAATGGCCTTCTACCTCCTAAGACCTTCAGATACCCACCACTGTCTCCTAGACTTGCGAATATTATAGGAGTCCAACTCTGACCACTGAGACTTATGAGCCAAATTGCAATCTGTCAGCTCGACACTTTCCTGGGATTTAGTAAGTCTTTGGTGACTGGTCATTCCAAGAAGACTTGCTATAAGTCTATCCTCATACCTATATGACTGCGTAAGAAACCACCCCAGAATTGATTCTTTTTTCCCCCATTCTATGGATTGTCTAGGTTCAGCTCATCCATTCTTGGGCAGGCCTCTTATGCGGCTGCAGTCATCTGAGAACCCAGCTGGCTGCATGTCTGACAACTGATACTGGCTGTAGGCAGGGATCTCAGCTGGGGATGAAAGTAACTCTAACTACAGGACCTCCACATGTGTCTGGAGTGTCTCACAGTATGGTGACTGGGCTCTAAGAGGGAGAATTCCACCAGCAAACGTTTCAAGAGATCAGGGAGATGCAAAAGACTTCCTAGTCCTGGTCTACACATCCTCATTCCTACTGCGTTCTGTTGGTCAGGCCAACCCAGATCCAAAGGAAGGGGCATTAGACTCCCCCTTGATGTGAGCAGCAGCAGCATGCATGAGACAGGAAGGAGCCTGGGAACCCCATCATTTACACAATGATGCCATAGGCACTAGTGGGAGACCTAGTAGGGGAGAGGCATGGTCCCTGCCCTCAGGGAGCTTTCAGTGTGATGGAGGAGCCATCATAAATCACAGTTGCATCCAATGATCATGTGAGAATAGTGTGCCCAAGGGAAATGCCATTACTTCAGTATGGCTTGGAGTCCTTAGGTGGTACACAGCTGCTAACCAAAAGGTTGACTGTTTGAGTCCATCCAGCGACACCTTGGAAGAAAATGCCTAGTGATCTTCAGTCAGCCGTTGAAAACCCTACGGAACACAGCTCTACTCTGACGCATGTAGGGTTTGGCTGTGAGTCAGAGTCAGTTGGATGGTATCAGATGTTGTTATATGTAAGTGTGACTTAGAGACTGGGGTTCCCTATGAACTGATATGTGTGTGTTACAGGAGAGAGAGGGCCACGTTGAGCCAAAGTCTACAAGACCCTTCCTTTGACCTCATTCTTTCCCTCCTCCCTCTTCAGGCTATGGCAACGTGGCCCCTAAGACCCCTGCAGGGCGCCTCTTCTGCATCTTCTATGGTCTCTTTGGGGTGCCGCTCTGTCTGACATGGATCAGTGCCCTGGGCAAGTTCTTCGGGGGACGTGCCAAGAGACTGGGCCAGTTCCTCACCAAGAGAGGCGTGAGCCTGGTATGTCCCCTATTCCAGGTAGTGGGCAAAGATGAGGGGGCTGGACCAGGTGTTGGGGTATTCAGGGGCTCTGGTTGTCCAGCCCTCCTGGGTCAGGCCGGGGGTATCCCTCCTTTCCTGGGTATTGCCCCTGCTGGGCCCCCGAGTCTCCCTCATTGTCTGACTTGGGCTGTCTGTCCCCCATCAGCGGAAGGCGCAGATCACATGCACGGCCATCTTCATCGTGTGGGGTGTCCTGGTCCACCTGGTGATTCCGCCCTTTGTGTTCATGGTGACAGAGAAGTGGTGCTACATCGATGGTCTCTACTACTCCTTCATCACCATCTCCACTATTGGCTTCGGTGACTTCGTGGCTGGTGAGCCCCTGCCCTCATTCCTCAGCCCTCTGCTTCCTGCCTTCTCCTCACCAGTTCCTACTCAGCTGGCCTTTGTTGGGAGCCCTGATAGTTGTTCAGTCTTTGGGACACTTCCCCCACACAATAGGATCCTCGTCCCACCCTGCCAGTTGCCAAGGAGAAACTAAAGCACAGAGGAATGGCAGAAGGATCTTTCCTCTCTGTTTCCCTCTCTTGGCTGTGGCTTCGCCCTCCTCATTTCCTCTCCTGCTGTTTGGACTCTGGCATCCTTCCCTCCTGTCTGCTGAGCTTGAGTTCACCCAGGCCTGGGGATAGTGGCCACTGTCAGTCTCCCGCTGACAGGGTTTGGGCAGGTTTGTACGTGTTTCCCACGTGAGTCCAGCAAGGCCCCTTCTCCATCCCTGAAGCACCTCCTGTCCTTCCATGGGCTGTCCTCGGCAGGCTTGGCTCAGAGACCCGAAACTTTGCTCTTGCCACAGACAGTACAAAGACAAGGAAGGCCTTCTCCCAAACTGCCCACCACTCCCTCCCACTCCACTCAGCTTAATTCAGGGAGGCAATAAGATTCTTTGGCCCTTTGTCTGACCACCTGCAGCCAGCCTCGCTACCAGGGACTTGTGCCTATGACCTGCACAGCATCTTGGCTCTTAATCTTCTTGACACTCTGTTTGGCTACACTGATTCAGTCTTTGTTCCCTCCAAGCCAGCTGCCCTGCCCATTTGACCTCCTCCTCTCTCCCGGGGCCTCTGGTCCCTGCCAGTCTTCCCTCACGGGGCCAGAGGGAGGTCACTACCCTTCTGTTCCTGTGCAAGGAATGCTGGGAGGGGGCAGTTGAGTGGGTGAGAGGAACAGGAAAACGAGGCACTGAGCCTGGCAAATCAGGAACTGTTGTCCAGAGAGATAACTTTAGTCCACAGCACAAGCCTCCCATTGTCTGGAGTTGGGTAAGGACAAGCATTTTGTGTCAAGGAGTGTACAGCAGATGCCATCCCAGCTCCCACAAGACACCACACTGCTGTGCCTCAATTTCCTTCTCTATAAAATTGGTAAATAATAACAATAGCACCGACCTTATGGGGTGGTAGAAAATTAAATGTTTGTCTTTGTCTTAGTTGAAATATCACATTGTTGTTGGTAGGTCCCACTGAGTTGGTTCCGACTCATAGCGATTCTGTGCACAACAGAACCAAACACCACCCAGTTCTGCCTCACCCTCACAACTGTTGATGCTTTTGAGCCCATTGTTTGAGCCTTATGAAAACCTTATGAATCTCCACTGAGTAGTATCCAGTCTGTCTAGGCGGGGCTAATGAAAAGAAATGTGGATAGGTCTCTTGTGATACAATAGTGAATAATTGTTATCAGGACTGATTGTGAGGGTTGGAAATGTAAAGGTAGACGTTTTGTAGCAATGAGGGGAGTGATTAAATTTGCAGTCTGGGAGCGGAGGTCCCTGGGACCATCAAGGGAGAAGAGCAGAGAGCGGAACCCTACCCAGAGAAGCAGTGATGCCAGAGATGGAGACAGAGATGATGACGTGGAGAGATGGAGCAGCTGGGGACTTTAGACCCAGAGAGGGAGAGGGGCTGTGTGCTGACAACCAGGGGGCAGGCTTGCAGGGTATACCCTTTGGTTAGTTGATGATGCATGGAGGGGATTGTAACCATGGCAATGAAATGATATACGATAGGATGAATGTAAAACTAATGTTCTCCCATGTAAACTATCAAATAATTCACAATAAAACATTTTTTTAAAAAAAGATGATTGAGAAAAGTTTAAAAACAAACAAAACCTTATGAATAGTCAGAGAGTATTGTCAGGTAGCTTTAGTGAACAGAGATGTACTTTCGCACAGTTTCATAGACGAGAAGCCCAAATTCAGGGCGCTGGCTGCAGGGAAGGCTCTCTGCCCACTCTGAGGGGAAATTCCTGTCTTGGCTTCTTCTCAGTGCACAGAACAAGTACATATAATATAAGAAGGGGCTTTAAAAAAGTTTGTGGGAAGTATTTCAGGATCTTTTAATTCCATTTTTCCACAAGCTTTTTGAAGCCCCCTTGTATTTTTTGACTGTATGTGGTGGCTACATTACTAACTCCACAAAACCCCTCAATATAGGTCTCTTCCTCGCCCCTGGAGATAGCCACTCTCCTGATGTTTGTAGTTGGGGAAACAGAGGCTCAGAAACAGGTTGGGTCTGGGAGTAGTAGGGGCATGCATCTTTAGGATGCTGGTGTAGTCTTGGATCTAGGCCTCCTTCAGTTCACCCCCATGCCCTACTGTGTTCTGGCTTTGCTGTAACTGCTCTCACATCACCCAGCTTTGACCTTTCCATGCTTCTTGGTCCCCATCAACCCCTTCCTGATCCTGGGCTTCCTGTCCTGCAGGTGTGAACCCTGAGGCCAACTACCATGCCCTCTACCGCTATTTTGTGGAGCTCTGGATCTATCTGGGGCTGGCCTGGCTATCCCTCTTTGTCAACTGGAAGGTCAGCATGTTTGTGGAAGTCCACAAAGCCATTAAGAAACGGCGGCGACGGCGGAAGGAGTCCTTCGAGAGTTCCCCACACTCCAAAAAGGCCCTGCAGTTGGCAGGAAACGCAACCTCCAAGGACGTCAACATCTTCAGCTTTCTCTCCAAAAAGGAGGAGACCTACAATGACCTCATCAAACAGATTGGGAAGAAGGCCATGAAGACTAGTGGGGGTGGGGAGAGGGTCCCGGGACCTGGGCTGGGGCCTCCAGGGGGTGGGCTGCCAGCCCTCCCTACCTCCTTGGCCCCCCTGGTGGTCTACTCTAAGAGCCGGGTACCCAGCTTAGAAGAGGTATCACAGACACTAAGAAGCAAAGGCCATGTGTCGAGGCCCCCCAATGAGGAGACTGGGGAGGGACCCCCTGAGGATGGTGCCCCCACCCCTGAGGTGTTCATTAACCAGCTGGACCGCATCAGCGAAGAGGGTGAGCCATGGGATGCCCAGGACTACCACCCTCTCATCTTCCAGAACGCCAACATCACCTTTGTGAGCCAGGAGACTGGCCTCTCAGACGAGGAGACCTCGAAGTCTTCTCTGGAAGACAACCTGGCCGAGGAGGAGCGGCCCCAGAAGGGGGGCGCCGAGGCTGAGGCACCCCTGAACCTGAGCGAGTTCCCCTCTTCAGATGAGTCTACCTTCACCAGCACTGAGTCTGAGCTCTCTGTGCCTTACGAACAGCTTATGAACGAGTACAATAAGGCAAACTGCCCCAAAGGCACATGAGGCAGGCCTGGCTCCCCACCCCACAGTTGACAGCTTTCTTTCCCCCTCACCTTGGGGTATCCTATGATGGTTGGGATCCCTGGCCCATGGTGAGGGGATATCCTGAAACTGGGAGTGGGGGGCCAGGGGCCTTCCTTACCTTCCATCCCCTCCAGCTATACGCTACCAATCCAACATGGCGCACGCCCAGGACAAAGCCTCTGCTCTCCAGCTGAACACACACTGCCAGTGAATGTCATCTGCCCCGAGCACAGCTTGGTCCTCCAATGGTTCTGAGACATCTGTGGGCTGGCAGGGCAGGTGGGCAAGACTGAGCCTGTGGAGGCCTGCATGGGTCACTCAGTTGATAATGTCACTCGGTTCTCCTGGGGCATGGGGTGGGAAGGGCACTCAGCCATTTACATTCCCTGGTGTTTAATGAGCCCCTACGGGTCTAGCACTAACCTGGGTATTCTGGAGATGGGAGGGAAGGGTAATGCCTGGATTCTACTTTGGTGATCCCTGCAGCGTTTGGGGGAGGTACCGTATGGAGTGGGGAGCAGCAGGGCCCAGGGCTGGGTTTGTATAAACCCTCCTGGAAGCTCACCTCATCTGTCCTGCTACCCACTGTGGCAGGTCTCCGCAGAGAAGAGGCAGCCTGGGGCTAGGAGTGAGTGGGCAGCAGCTGGAACACTCCTGATACAGAGGACCCCAGGAAAGGCCAGTGAGGGCCCAGTGTCCCAGTAGGTTTACTCGGAGCCCAGCACCCTGCCTCAGACAACAATGGCAGGTGCAAGGCCTTCTGCCCTCCCCAGGAAGTGGTGGGAAAGAGAGGACAGTGATGGGGTATGTATGGGTCAACTCTCCTGGCTAATCCCACCCCCAGCCCTCTAAGAGCTCCCTGCCCTGCACCCCCTCAGGTGTGTCCTCATTTCAATGGACCCAACTGCCCACCCTCTCACACTGTGCCCCTCTTGCTCTTAGCTCACACATGGTGAGTGGTGAGCTGCCAAATCTGTGAATTGAGCCCCTCCCCCTAAGCAATTGTTCATCATTTGTGAGTATGTTTTTGAAGAAGGGATTTGGGGAGCAAAAGATAATGTGAAACTAAACAGACTGTCTTCCTGTGAGGGGCTGGTAGAGCTTGCTGCTGCGAGTCCTGGCTTTCTCCAGCCCCCTCCACCCTGAGTATTGTGTTTTGTTATTTTTTTTTTTTAAATAAACTGCTGTTTTTACATACTTGGAATCTTTTGTTGGCTTCTGAGCCAGTGCGGAAAAGAGGTTATCATTTTCCCCACCCCCACTGGGCAGAGTTGGGGCGGGGCACTGATCCACAGGTGGGTACAGGTGGGGGCAGAGGGTCCAGAGCATCCCCCCAGGATGTGAAGGTGATGAGCATGTGTGTCCCCAGGCCCATTCACCTTGTAGATGTGAATCTGGGGCCGGGCAGGGAGTGCATTTCATTCTCCTGTGGTAGTCTTTAGTCCCCTGCCCAGGCTGACGGGTGGTGTGAGCTGACTCGGAACCGTACATACTGTGTTCATACAAGCAGTGATGTCCCGTGTAATTTAGCATTTTTATAATAAAACATGAGGTGGGCAGGCAGCTTGGTGTGTGCTGTGTGGGGGACACATTGGGAGAGGGAGACTGGTTTGTGGCATCTGAGGGAAAGCGGGGGCCCTGGGAAGACCCATGGAGGGTCAAGAGGACCAAAGCACAGTCTGGAGGTCCAGAGGAGAATTTGGGTCTTTCTGGAAGGGAGTAAAATTGAAGAGGAGTGGCAAGATGGAGGAGGGCAGGCTACTTTGGATGAGTGGGGTGAAGGGAAACCTCAAGAAAGGTCTCAGAAGTGGCAATTAACAGGCTTGAATGTGGTGAGGGCGGAGCATTGTAGAAGAGGTTCAAGAACAAGGAAGGGGTCACAGGAGCTAGGGGAGAGGGGTAGGGAGTAATGATGGCAAATTCGTGGCACCTGGCACTGTTAAGCTAAGCAAAAACCAATTGCCATGGAGTTGAGTCCAACTGAGCAACTCTAGGACAGAGTGGCATTGTTCCCATAGTGTATCCAGTGCTATAATTTTTATAAAGCTGACTGCCACATCTTTCTCCCTCAGAACAGCTGGTGGGTTTGAACCACTAACCTTTCAGTTAACAGGCACTTAAACCACTGTGCCACCAGGGGTCATTTTAACTAGTAAATAAAACCAAACCCACTACCACAGGGTCAGTTCTAACTCATGGTGACCCTATACATTTAGCACATGACAATTCACAGGGTTCTTTCACAAACATGACTCAGCATCCTCTGTGTGGTAACGTATGCAGTGGAAAAGGTAAAGACTTGGGGTTATGACTTACTTAGGGCACACAATAAACTGGGGTACAACTTCACAGAATTCTGCTCTTTGCGTGATAAAGGACTAAAGATGTTTTGATAAGCCACTGTGGCTTGTCAAGAGTTTTCTGAGAAAGGAAGGAGCAGAGGGTGGGGTCTAGAAGGCACGAAGGTCTTGGGTCATGAACAAAGATAGCATAGTTACTGCCAGGGAGCTGTGGTGTGGTAGAAGGGAGAGGAAATAAGTGGGCTGGCTGAGAAGATTGCAGAAGTTACTGGTAGGTATACTGGCAGGGAAATTTCCTTGCTGAATCACTATTCTCTAACCCTGGATAAGGTACCTGCGTATTTGTTGGGGGTGGACCCTGCCACCCCTGGAGGCCCACAGAGGTGGGCAAACCCAGTCCCTACCCACTCCCTACCCATTTGTTAAACCGACAATTTGAGTGCCTACTCTTGCTCTGGGCTCTGTTCTGGCCCCTTGCAATACAGCAGTGTGTGAAATGGCTAAATCCACCTGTATTCATGGAGCTGACTGTCTGGTTTCCTCTGTCCTCATATATCATGGTTGGTGCCCAGTATTTTTGTCTAAGAATGTCTTTCCATGATGTTTCTTTATATCTTAACCCTCACTACAAGTATTATTATAGGAGTTCTGGTAGCGTAGTGTTTACGAGTCAGTCTGCTAACCTCAAGGTCAGCAGTTTGAAACTACCACACGTTTCTCAGGAGAAAGATGAGGCTTTCTGCTCTCAGAAAGATTTGCTGCCTCAGAAACCCTGTGCAGGAAGGATAGCTGAGTTGGAACCAACGCCACAGCACACAACCATTACTACCACCACAGGTATTGGAGTTCTGGTGTGGCACTTAGGCTCAATGCACTGGACTGCAAGGTCGGTGGTTCAACCTCACCGTTCACTCCATGGAAATCCTATATAGGGTTGCTATGAGTCAGAACCAATTTGACAGCACTTAACAACAATAGGTATTATTAACCCCGTTTTTAAAATGAGGAAATTGAATCCAATTTTAAGACTTGTAAACAACTATAGGAGTCCTGGTGTGGCACTTTAAGCTAATGAGTCAGGCTGCAAAGTCGTTTGAACTGCAAGGTCAGTGGTTCAACCTCACCAGCTGCTTCTTGGAAACCCTATACAGGGTTGCTGTGGGTCGGAATCAACTCGATGGCCCTTAACAACAACATACTACTATTGTTGCTGTTGTTAAGTGCCATCGAGTTGGCGCTGACTCATAGCGACCCTATACAGGGTTTCCAAGGAGCAGTTGGTTTGATTTGAACTGCCAACCTTTGCAGTTTAAACCGACCTTGTGGTCCAATGCATTATCCTGAAGCACCACACTATAAAGCACCAGCAAAAGCGTCCCTGACTTCGTTCCCAGGCCTCCTCCTCATACTGCCCTCTGGAAGTTCCTAATCTGATGAGGGGAAGTGTACTCTCAGAGAATCAAGTCAGATGTAGGAGACACCTTCTACGCTGTAGCCTGCAATTTGTGAGGTAGATGATGGAGGGGAAGAAACACAGAAATAGAAAAACAAGCACAAACCATTAATATTAGTTGGCAGTGCCAGCTGGGCCTCTGACCCCTATCCTGGAGGAGCCTCGAGGCTCCAGCCAAGATTCATAAGAAGAAATCAGGATGTTTGGGTTTCACCCCTTCCTGATAATGACCAGTTGAGGTAATCTGATGCAATTGCATCTGAAGCTTTCCTGAGTGATGAGGAAGGAGGAGACAGTTAGACTGGGGACTCTGGGTGGGGCCTCCGGAAGTGGTTGTCTTTGTGGGGCCTGAGAGATTTAGTCCTACCCTTAAGATCAGTTCTCCACCCCTAAAATAACAGCAGACTTGGCCTCCATTACTTTGGACACATTAGGAAAAACCAATTGCCAACGAAAGGCATCATAATTGGTAAAACAGAAGGTCAGTTATTTATTGAATGTAAAATGGATAATCTGCCCTGTAAACTTTCACTCAATTCACAATAAAAACTTAAAACAAAACAAAAAACAGAAAGTCAGCAAAAGTGAAGAAACCCTCAAAAAGTTGAATAGACCCACTAGCCAAAGCAATGGACACAATTGTCTAATTTCACGCTTTTCTAGATAGGGATCTCACGCTCCACTCATGCTCTTCCTTTTTGATTGTCCTGAGATTGTCTGTTCTTGAAATCAAAGATTAACTACTCCCCCCTTTTAGTTACACATCTTAACAGCTGTGATAATCACACTTAGCCCTGCTAACAATTATTCACAACTGAATCATAAAATCCTATCACTGTTGTAAAATCCTGTCACTGTTGTCCCCCATCCCCTTTTATCAGATCCATCGGGAAAAGAGGGAAACTATTCACCCCTCATTGTGAAACTAAGGATGCTAATGAAAGCTTGTAAACTAGCCACTTCATGCCTTTGTAGCCCTCACCCCGTGTTTGATAGCCAATGTCTAAATTTCTCATCCCTATCAACCCAGTACTCTGAAGAAACAAAATTGTTCCTTGATATGAAGAACCCTTCTATTTCTGTTGGAATTTTGAGTCACTGCATTCATACACAAAAGTCTAGTCCACCAAATTGCAGCAATTTGTACTTATTCTCAGTATCAAACATCTTTATCTCCCTCTGATTTCTGGTCAACTAGCCATCTAGGCCAGGTGAAATGGGTTCTGGTTGCAAGTTTGGGAGTTCACCCACACCTCCCTGCACTTCAGACCAGCGGGCCACTTCAGCCCTAGCTTGGTCAGTGCCCATGGATGGGCTCAGGAGTTCACACATCTTCCTAAACTTCAGACCAGCCAGCCCTTCCTCTTCTCTCC